TGAGGAGGGGGCGGGCTCGCCACCACCGTTCCCCCCTGCCGCGTTATCCACGGTTGAGTCGTCAGGGTGTGGACGTTGCGGAGTGTAGTAGACCACATCGCCCAGGATGATAGCCTCTTGTGACAAAGGCAACAGACCCGCCTTCATGCAGGATACCTACAGTTTTAGAAATATTAAAGCCTGATTTAAAAGGTACCAGGTCGCGATCGATAGTACCACGAGTAACTTACAGCAACCGTTGCCGGTGTGCCCAAATGAATGATGCAACGAATGTCAGGACGAGTCGAATGGACGGCGGAATGAAATAGCCACCCAGTCTGTTCGACACCAAGAACAGTTGACCCAGGATCAAGCACGACACCGTGGCTATTTACTTTGATCAGAGACGACGCAGTCACTTCGTGATAGAGTAGCCCAAAGGGGTTTATTAGAAAATGCTCCTCATTCCGGCTTAACCGAACAGTGGCGTGGTTATAAATACTGGTATTCCAACCAAACAGCTCAATCAGTCGATACACCGAGGCTAATTTGCAACGATATACACGTTCTCTTCGGGAATATAACCCAGTGTCGACGCCACGCAAATCGTTAATAGGAATGATTCCGTTTTGATTACCTATTTGAGAAAGAAGTGGGTTTAACATAAGCGACATGTGCCATCAAGCAAAATCCAAACAATAGGGTGGCAAAGGAAATAATAAGTGCATTGGCGACATTGCTAATAAGACAAATGCTGTGAATTACTCTTAGCGAAACCACCTCCAGTCAAAGGACGCTTCCCAGGGATTGTCGAAAAAAGATCAGCCAAATGTTGAAGGGAGAGGAGACTTGAATTCAACACAACTGATTCTTGGGATCGCGTGTAACTCTCAATAATTTCCTCCAGTTCTTTCCGAAACGATTCTGAATTCAGTACTAGAGAAACACGACGGCGCTGTGACATTAAATTTAAGTCTTCTTTGATTTCGGCCGGCCTCATGAGCTGTCGCTTATACTCTGGGTCATCAGAGTCTGTATTCCAACAAGTGTTATCTGAATCATGGCCTACCTATGTTGTCGATGAATTTCTCGGAAGAGCTAGCATAGCCATTTTCAACTACTGCATCTGCCATCCCTTTCGTAATTGTAGTAAACCTGAATAAAAGAATTAGCTCAAATATCGTGAAAAATAAGGTAAGACGATTCAGACCGGCGTAAAACCGCGAGCGAAAGCCAGATGCTCGCAAGTTGCAACCGCCATACGATAATTGGCAGCGAAATGCCCCACTGAAACAAACATCTATTTGGGTTGGCATGATGTGCTTTTTCTTAATTATGATATCAAACGTATTTTTGCTATTTATGATAGTTTGTCGTTTGAAATAAGTTTGCTTAGTAATGCCATTGTCAAAGAGCAATGGACACGTCAATGGCAGTTCTCGAAGCAGGAAGTCAGATGTTCATTTTTTGAGTCCGTCAATTATTCTTCTATGGATTTTTCAAACATCAAGGCATGCCTCTGCATGTAGTTAACGAGTGATTAGATTGACGTCGACAAAGCAGATGTTTGGTATTATTTCAGCGCAATTAGTGGAAACGAGTTCGCCCGTTCCGAGGACAATAAGGCGCAATCGCGGTCAGTTAACCACGACTAGACGTATGTGGAGAGTCATGCTGTCTTGCAGTGCGTTTAGAACCTATGCGATAAGCACCACCAAATCAACCCACAACTTTTCTCTGCTTGAGCGTCGCCCTCTTCCACTCCCTTTTCCAATGTTCTGTGTCTTCCATAGCATGGCTAGCGCCATTACAACCACTCAGGCATGTGCTCTAGTTTAAATTAACTGGTCACACATTTGATACCGCATGTAAAGATATGTATCAATGACTTTATCCTATCCAAATTCTTATTTCACTTGAGGAACAAATAAGTTTTTCCCATTGTACGGATGCTGCTCCGCTTTTATATGTCCTCGATACTTATCACCTTTTTGTCGTTTAGCCAACTAAATGATTTCCGCTAAGGTATTAAAACGTAAACAAGGTATCCCATTCAATGTCTTTGCATTGACGCCATGGACGCCTCAAGCATGGAAGATATCAAACTGTCTTATTATGACGTTTATAACTTCTAGCTTTGTGACAAGATTATTTTTCCTGCATCAGCGTTCACCGTATGTCTCTCCTCACTCTCAACAAGAACTA